ATCTTAACAAAGACTGTTGACACATGCTTTGTCCCTTCCACTACTGGTTTGGTGTTAGGGGTCAGCATTAAAAATCAGAGGGATTCTCCTGTGCAGTACCAAGGATTGAAAAAAAGGCCAAGAAAGAGAAGCAAAAGCTAGTATTGTTTTAAGCATATCAGGGATATGTCATAAGCCTTGCATTCAATATAATTTCATGAAGTGCTGGCATGCAAAAATATTCTTTCAGTGTTATCAAGAATGTACACATTGTCCCATATGCATGTGCCCACGCACATTGTATGTGAGCAGCCTTGTGGAGGGCAGGGTAGTGATTCTGTGCATAAGAGGTCAGGGATTTTTAAGAAGAAAAGTCAGTAGATAACTATCCTCTGGCACTATGGCTTCAAAAAGCAGAAATCATCAGGTAGGTTTCCAAACTATATCTTGGTTAGTAAAGTGGGAATTAATACTAGGAAGAAAAATCATTAGGATGCGTGGTCTTCATCTAGGATTAACGGTGCACACATTCACTTAACAATTAGGTGTAATGTGTAAAGAAGGGGAAATGAAGGGACAGTCCAACCATCCTGAACCTGATAATCTACTGAAGTTGCAATCAATACATTGAACAATCCAAATATGTTATCCATGGTAAATGGTATCAAAGAAAAGAAACTAAGAAGGGGAGAAAGGAGAATGGATTGAGGAAAGGTCATTGCAATTGTAGCTGAGATGGTTATGGAAGTTCATAAATGAAAATGTGGCATCTCAGGAAAGGCCTGAAAGAGTGATTAAACTTTTCAGGTACCTGAAGAGGAAAATTTCAGTAAGAAGAAATGGCAAGTGCAAACCCTTGACATAAAAGCATACCTTGCAGGACGGCCAGAAGACCAGTGTGGAAAGAGAGAACCAGGAACACACCAGAGAGGTTTGAAGGGAGAAGTACAATGAACTGATATGGCAGGTCATCTTGATTTTTCTGTTGAGAATATTCTGACAGGAGACCAACACAGAATCAGGAAGATGGACTCGGAGGAGACGAGTGTTAGATTGTCAGCTAGTGTTAATAATGCCTTGGACCAAAGTAGCAACAAAGAACATGACAAGAAGTGATGAGAAATTGTTTTCTGTGAACACAGAGCTCATAAGATTGTCTAATTGAATGAACGTAGAATTCAGAAGCACTCCTATGTTCTTGGCCTCAGAGGATTGTAGGATTTGGTTCCTTATTTTAGTGGGCATGGATATAGGAACCACAGACTTATTTTGAAATAAGGATTAGAGGTTCATTGTTGATGCATACTATATTTGAAATATTGTGACATTAAAATGAAGATAATTATCATATGAATATGTGGGTATAGAGTTCAAATAAAAGAAAATACCGACTGGAATGATTTTCTTGGAATCTATGTATTAACTGCATACATATTATTCAAAATCTTAAAGTGGGAAGAGTTATGAAAATATCTAAAAGGCAAAGGAAGAAAATGTTATACTAAATGATATGTTCACATTTGTGTAGTTTAATCTCCAGTGTTTTAGAGAATATTTAAATAATAATTTAAGTAAAGCATGCCCTGTTCCTATTGCAGTATTGGGCATAGAGCAGGCCATGAAGTCTTAGTTGCTTTTTGTTGTTGTTGTTGTTAAAGGTATACTCTCATTTGGTAAGTAATTGAAAGCATAGAACATTTCTGTTTTGTGTCTGTCCCATACAAAGTTTATCTAGGAGAGAGAATTCAAATCTGTGCAAGCATAAGCAGAAAGAATCATTGCAGTGTCCTGGGAACTTGTTACCCAAGAGATGATGATCTGAGGCTGGAGACATCACAACCACAGCAGCCCCACTAAGAGCTCTGTGACGAAGGTGCCCACGAGGGGAAGACATCCTGTATCACAGATGGAGGAAAGTTGTAGGGATAGCATTTTGTGAACACTGTGACAACGTTCAAACCAGAAAGAAAGCTTTCTGAAACACGGTGGTTATAATTTAAGAGAGTTTTTATTTCCTTCTGTGCTGTCCAGATAACTCACTCAGTGACAAATAAGTTCTCAAAGCCAGCATATAAGAGAAATGTGAAAATCACTTAGGTATACTTTATAGGTTCTAGCTTTCTTGCTGTTGCAAAGTTCAAGGTCTTATGGAAAAAGCAAACGGTGGGCATCTTTTAGGGAACTCATATAAACTACTCATGAGGAATAAAATATTTCTCTTTCCATGAATTCCTCAGAATTTGAGTGCACTGGGCTGAGGATATGGCTCAAGCGGTAGCGCGCTCGCCTGGCATGCGTGCGGCCTGGGTTCGATCCTCAGCACCACATACAAACAAAGATGTTGTGTCCGCCAAAAACTAAAAAATAAACATTAGAATTTGAGTGCACTGAATGCTTCATAAAGACTCCTTCATTTCTCATTTATTGACTCTAATTTCCCCTCCATGGGAAGCAAGCACTTTAAAAAAAACGCTGCTGCAAATCATTAAAATCAAGAATTAAGGGAATTGTCTAATTTATGTTGTGTTTAAAAGAAATGGACTTGTTGCAGAAAAAGTCTTTTCCAAGGAAAGTAGAATTTTAGAAAATAAATATAAAATGTGGAAGATAAAAATGAATTATGAAATCAATTATCATCTGGATTTCTCTATGTAGTTCTTCAAGAAGGGGGACATATTTAAATCTCAGAGATAAAAATCAGTACTCTACCACTAGAAGTCAATCAGAAACAGCATTCTTTATAATAAGACATTTAAATAATAAAATAATTAAAAATACACTTAAACAAGTAGGATTTTCTATTATGAAATGCCACGATAAAATAAAATGATTTTAATCTGTTGCTTTCTTTTATCTTTAGAAATGTTTAATGCTCATGGGAAATAATGAGGATTTCTTGACACTTTTGCATCATTGACAGGAAATATTTTCTTGGTTATACAGCTATAAACTTACAGAACTATTTCTAGTATATCATAGCATGTAAGTAGGAGAGATAGAAATAACCAAATTTTCTCAATTCCCTAAGTCATTACTGTGCCAAATCAAATTACCTACAGGCATATTTTCCTGCAGGCATATTCACTTAGGCTTAAAGCTTTCTTTTCTTTTAAAATAAGCAGCTTCTTTTCACAATAAATGTTGTTACTGTAGCTGATGGTAAATTTTTAAGAGCTTGGAAGTAGTAAATTTTAGGAAAGTGTTTAAGACTGATCCATGTGATGAGATTGCATGGTGGTGTTGAAATTGGCACTTCACTTCCGAGATTCAGGCAAGATTAAATCTTCCCTTCTGGGACTCTGCCCTCAGAAAGAATATTCTTTACAGAGCAGCAGTGCAATGTGATGTTAATATTAACTCTGATGTAAAGATGTATGAAAACTCGTTTGTTAAAAAAAAATAGGAAATACTGGTCAAAACAAAGTTGAAAAGATTTCTTTACAATATGACTTTGTGGAATCTTTAATAAGTAAAAATGCATATCTAATCTCTGAGGGAAAAACAGTCTGCAATGTCTCAAAACTTATTTGGCCATGAACACCTTTTATTTACAAAAGAAACTCATGGGAAAGAATATTTTCTAACTTGGGGAAATACTACTTTAATTGGTCTCAGCCAGGCCATAATTCTAAATTATGCCAAATTTGAGCTAAAAGACAATCTGGTTTTCTTTTGTTCTTTTGCCTTAGTTGAAGAACATTCTACTTCTTCTCTTAGGTACA